CCAAAAAAAAAAAAAAAAAAAAAATTCTCCTATGTAGCACACTATTTATTGACTGAGTCGGCGTCTCACTTTGCCATTCAGGCTGGAGTGCAGTGGCATGATCATGGCCACTGCATGATGGCCTGCTGGGCTCAGGTGATCCTCCTGCCTCAGCTTCCCAACTGATGAGACTACAGGTGTATGCTACCACGCCCGGCTAATTTTTTGATTTATTGTAGAGATGAGGTCTCATCAAGTTGCCCAGGCTGGTCTCGAACTCCTGGGCTCAGAAATTCTCTTGCCTCAGCCTCCCAAAGTGCTGGGATTACAGGTGTGAGCCACTGTGCCCGGCCTTAGCACATATTTTAGACAAGGTGAGGAATATAAGGAAAAAAGCTAAGATGAGAAAACAGGAGAAACAGAGCCAGTCTCCAACAGATGCTGTAAATATTCTCATAACTGTGGCTATAAATGGTAGACCTGGCCCATAAAGGTACCTGAAGGACCAGTCCATCCAGCAGCACTTGGTACCTGGTTGCATCTTTCACCACCTTGCTGAGTCTCTGTTTTGCTTCATTCAGTAAGTCCTACAAAGATGGGAAAAGAAAAAAAAGTTACCGACACATCTGGGTAGTTAGCTCAGATCTCACACTTCATTGCCGGGTTATCCCTCAACACTCGTTCCTTGAAATGTGAGAAAGCAGAGGCTGTGCTAAGTACGAGGACACAGGACGCATGAAACATCAGCCCTGCTCCTGCCACCAGGGAGTTCACGGTCTAGCAGAGAATGGCTCAGGTATCAATCAGTTCAGAAACCTACACAAATGACAGGGAAAGATCTGCATGACACAGCTTTGAAAAGCAAGCTGTTAAGAGTTCTACAAGATGATTCCCTTTTTAATAAGAAAAAACAGACAATGTGTGGATATAGATCAAAATACCAACAATTGACTTCCGGGAGGCTAGATTATGAATGCCTTCCACTTTCTTTATGCTAGTTTGCATTCTCTAATTTGTCTCTAATAAACATTGACTTCCATAATAAAAATAACTAAAGGAAAATCTGGCCAGGGTCGGTGGCTCACCCTGTAATCCCAGCACTTTGGAAGGCCAAGGTGAGATTGCCTGAGCAGGTGGGTTTGAGACCAGCCCAGACAACTCTGGTGAGACCTCACCTCATCCCTACAATAAGTAAAAAATTAGCTGGGTGTGGTAGCGGATGTCTGTATTTCCAGCTAGTTGGAAGTCTGAGGCAGAAGGATTGCCTGAGCCTAACAGGTCGAGGCTGGGGTGGCCGTAAGCGTGCCACTGTACTCCAGCCTGAGTGACAGAGTGAGACTCCAACTCAGAAAAAACAAACAAACAAACAAAAAACAACAAAGAAAACTTAAAAGGATAATCAGAAAACAAATCTCTGGCTCACGCCTATAATCCTAGCACTTTGGGACCTGAGCCCATGGGTTGAAGATCAGCCCCATCATCTTGGAAGACCTCATCTCCTCAATAAATAAAAAAATTAGCCAGGCATGGTGGCACGTGCCTGTCATTCCAGCTACTTGGAAGGCTGAGGCGCAAGGATCAAGGCTCAAAAAGAAAACAGAACTCATATGGTTGGAAAGAATACATTGGAAATCACTCATTAAATACTGAGTGTTTACTGGCTTACTGACTAAAAGAAAACTTTTAAAAGACTTATACTTAGTTATCCTAAGTGTTCTATATTGTTTATTTGACTTAATAAATGTTATCTTGGGAAAGTTTTGTCCTTGGTATTTTTTTTTTTTTTTGAGCTGGAGTCTCACTCTGTCGCCCATACTGGATGGAGTGCAGTGGCCACTCCCAGCCACCGCAGCCTCGACCTGCTGGGATCCGGCGATCCTCCCGCCTCAGCCTTCCAAGTAGCTGGAACTACAGGCGCGCGCTACCACGCCCGGCTAATTTTTTGTTTTATTATAGAGATGAGGCGGGTTTGGGCTCAGGCATGTCCTTGGTATTTTAAGGAAGAAGAGACATGCCTGCTGAGGGAGAAGAACCAGGATTTAGGTGGAGTGAGAGGGTGGAGAACAGGGAGTGGCCTCTATGTTGAAAAGCCCCTGTGCTGACAGTCACCCCATCCTCAGTGTGCTGAGACCCACCCAAGTGCAGCACAGCCTGCAATGAGTACCCACGTCACACAGTTGTGCCCAAGGGAGGGCGCTCCAGCACAAGGCAAGACTTGTGCTCCAAAGTGACAGTGGGCGGCTGGAGGACAGGGCAGATCAGATACTTTTCACTGCACACCCTCTTGTACCCGCTGGATTTTGTACCAAGTGAATGTATTAACTACTTAAAAATGCAGTGCCTTGATGACCACGTGCCTCACGATTCTCAGATCAGAGAGTCACAACCGATGAACACGACGCGCGCTGTCATGGCACTCCTGCAGTAGAGTGTTTATCGGCAAAGCGTGTAAATGCTCAACCATTGTTAGGCACCTTCCATATCTGTAAAGTAATGCTCAGCAGTTAATATAAAAGCAGATAAGCCAATGAGCAAGTGAGAGCTAGACTCAGAGTCCCAGAATAGTCTGACTCCCACCTCGACATACTTCCCAGTACATGTCTGCTCATGGAGGGAAAGAGCTAGCTGCGTGACCTGCCCTCGGCGGCACAGGACAGCTGTCACTCATGTCTTCTTTGCCCCAGGCTACCGCCGAGCCTTCCCAGTGTGATCTCTCGGAAACATATCACACATCTCATTTCAAGCAAATATTTCTTTCTTTAGATAATCACTAAGTGCAAATATGCCAAGATTTCTTTTTTCTTTTTTGAGTTGCCGTCTCATTCCATTGCCCAGGCTGGAGTGCAGTGGTCACCCCGGCGCAGACCTGCTGGGCTCTAGCAATCCTTCTGTTTCAGCCTTCCAGGTAGCTGGAACTACAGGTGTGCGCTACCACACCCAGCTAATTTTTTACTTATTGTAGAGACGAGGTCAGCATTTAGCTGACAGAGGTATTTCTTTGACAATTGCTAATAAAGGAACCCAATATAGGAACTGTAAGGCCAATACCCTTTTCACTGTATTATATGTGATTAGCTTGAAAATTTTTCCAGTCCCTGAAGACTCAAGAGCAATTCATAGCCTCAAACTCTCCCCCTCACAGCAATGGCCATTTCTAAATATATTATGCAGAAGCCAGTCAAAACCATCACAGCAAGAAATATTCTAGCAAAGACCTGGAGCCTGAAGACAGGGATATACTTGAGTCAGGCCAGAAACAGAAGTGACGACAATAGTAACGTAAAGAATGTCTTCCTTAATGTCAAAGGAAGAAGAGTATGTATTTCTTTTAAAAAGTAAGAAAACAAGCCGGGCTCGGTGGCTCAACCTGTAATCCCGTGCCTTTGGGAGGCCAAGGTGAGTGGTTTGCCTGAGCCCGCGGGTCTGAGACCCGCCTGGGCAACTTGGTGAGACCTCATCTCTACAATCAAAAATCAGCCGGGCGTGGTAGCGTGTGCCTGTAGTTCCAGCTACTTGGAAGGCTGAGGTGGAAGGATCGCCTGAGCCCAGCAAGTTGAGGCTGTGGTGGCCATGATAGAGTGAGACTCCAACTCAAAAAAAAAAAAAAAAAGTAAGAAAACTAATTTTGGAAGACTAAAAAGAACCTGCATGGACTATCATCCCTTAACAGAACTTTCTTTTTTTTTTTTGAGTTGGAGTCTCACTCTATCATGGCCACCACAGCCTCAACTTGCTGGGCTCAGGCGATCCTTCCACCTCAGCCTTCCAAGCAGCTGGAACTACAGGCATGCACTACCACGCCCGGCTAGTTTTTTGATTTATTGAGGAGATGAGGTCTCGCCAATTTGCCCAGGCTGGTCTTGAACCCCTGGGCCAGGCATTCCTCTTACCTCACCTCCCAAAGTGCTGGGATTATAGGCTTGAGCCGCCATGCTTGGCACAGAGCATTTTTAGAATTAAAATTTCTGTATGAACACAGTGAAATTTTGAAGAGTAATCACAAATCAACCTCTAATTTTCCGTCAGAACAGCCTAATCCACGCGAGTGTTACTAATGAAATCTCAACCATCTGGTAAAGAAGTCCTCTAAGCCTTTAAAATCTAGGAAGCTTATGAGCACAAACAGGTTGATTGTCCTAATCTGAAAACCCAAATTCTGAAATTCTCCAAAATTTAAAACTCCGAGCACCAACATGATGCCATAAGTGGAAAATTCCACACGTTAGTACTTAACAAAAACTGTTTCCATGCACAAAATTTTCTTTTTAGAGATAGAGTCTCACTATGTTGGTGTGTCTCAAACTCCTGGAGTCAAATGATTCTCCCACCTTGGTCTCTCAAAGTGATGGGATTATGAGGGCAGAAGCCACTGCACCAGTGTAAGCACAAGATTGTTAAACATGTTTCATGAAATCTGCTTTAGGCTATGTGTATGGGCATATATGAAACATAAATGAATTCATGTTTAGACTTAGGTCCCAGCTCCAATCTATATAATCACGTATATGCAAATATTCCAAAATCTGAAACAACCTGAAATCAGAAACACTTCTAGTTCCTAGCATTTCAGATACGACATTTAACTGAAAGAAATCTCAGGTCCTCCCTACCAAGAGATCCCTAAAGTGTCTGTCCTCTTTGTGCTGCAATCAACCAATTAACATTGGTCAAGAAAACAGGAATAGACAGTCAGAACATGGAGAGAGGGTCTTTACTCATCAATCCAGTTGCCTGAACCATAAGCCCTGAGACCATTCTCGACCCTCCTTTCCATTCATTCATCCCAACTGAATCACCAAGTCCCACAGATGCCGCCTTTTTCCATGGCCCTGGAACAGGCCTTCTCTTCCTCGCATTTGCTGCCATCATGGCTGAGGCCTTTCGACTTCTTGACCTGAACACTATGCCACGCCCTTCTTATCTGCATTCCCCACTGTGCTTTCTCGAACTCAAATCTGTTTCTCAAAAGTGTGGTTCTCAGATCATCTGCACCAAAATTGCCCCTATCTGCTTACTGAAATCCTGATTCCTCGTTAGGAAATAAAAAGCTCTGAAAATGGGACTGGGAGTCTGCATTTTAATAAGGTCTCCCAGGTGTTTTTTGTTTGTTTGTTTGTTTGTTTGTTTTTGAGTTGGAGTCTCACTCTGTCGCCCAGACTGGAGTGCAGTGGCCGCTCCCAGCCGCCCAGACTGGAGTGCAGTGGCCGCTCCCAGCCACCGCAGCCTTGACCTGCAGGGCTCCGGCGATCCTTCCGCCTCAGCCTTCCAAGTAGCCGGAATTATAGGCATGCGCTACCATGCCCGGCTGATTTTTTGATTTATTGTACAGATGAGGTCTCACTGCCCAGGGGGTCTCGAACCCGCGGGCTCAGACAATCCACTCACCTCAGCCTCCCAAAAGCGTGGGATTACAGGCTGAGCAACCGAGCCTGGCTTCACCACTAATCTTTAAGGCCATGCTCAAAATGCTGTAGTGTAGATGAATTCTCTTGTCTAGATCCTGTTGGACTGCAGACTCCTGCAGAGGCTAGTACAACACAGGTCACATGGGGTAAGTGCACTCTGAAAGTCAAATAGCTCCCTGCCT